CCCATCACTTCCCCAACTTCCTGCTGCACAAGGCTCCCCATAATTCCCCAGGCCACGTTGCTAGGGGCAGGGGTGGAGTGGGGGCGGAGCAAGGGCAGGGCTTGGGGAAGGGGCGGGGCCTGCAGCCAGGGGTCTGCCCCAGGCCCAGGGCCTAGGCCTTGGGTGGAGGGGTTGCCCCAGGCCTCCCACCTCCTTCAGGAGAGCCCTGGCTACAGACTCACTATCACACCTTGGAGACGTCACTAAGGCCCAGATCCAATGGAAGTTAGGAGCCTAAAAACCATGAAGGATCTCTATGGGCCTCTGGTTCTTATCTGCTCATCACGCAGCACACAGGCAACCTGTGGAACTCCTTGCTGGAGGATGTTATGACGACCAGGACTTTAACAGGGTTCAAAAAAGAGCTAGATAAACTCATAGAGGTTAGGTCCAGCAATGGCTGCTTGCCAGGATGGGTAGGAATGGCGTCCCTAGACGGACGACAGGGGAGGGATTACGTGAGGATTCCCTGTTCTGTTCACTCCCTCTGGGACATGTGGCATTGGCTGCTGTCAGCAGACAGGCCAGTGGGCGAGATGGACCTTTGGTCTGACCCAATGTGGCCATGCTCATGTTTTAGGAAGTGGCATTATTCCCTTCTCCTGTATTTAAAGATTTTTTTTTAGATGTTCACGTTCTTTGAGGATGTCTGACTTGGGGCGTGTCATGGATGAACCCACTGGGGCCTTGTGGGGTGGCTAGCACGTGCCAGCCGTGGGGGGATGTTGCAATTGTTGCCTTTGGAGCCCTACTGAAATTGCAGCATCTGCCCAGGCCCGCTGGGACCAACTGCAAGCGGAGCAGCTCTGACGACCTGTGAGCTGACTTTGCACACTTGGGTCACGCTGCTGCAGCCAGGTCACTGTTTCAGGACCATTGTAAATCATTTACCGGCTCTGCCATGTGGCAAGACTCCCTTGTGTCCTTCGGGCTTATTCCTCCTTTGGCAGCCACGCCGGAGACGTGATCATCGCGTCCGCTCATTTGCACAGAATTGCTGCTTTCACTAGTACCATAATCAGCCACATTTCTAACTGGGGCAACCCTGTAATTTACCATTCACGGCTGCTGCCTAATGAAATTATTCTTCTAGGGCAAAAATTCCTCCCTGGCATTACACGGTGGAGAGGGCCTCTCTCACACCCAGCACAGTGTACAGCCAGCTAGCTGGACATCTCTTCAGTTTGCCTAAATGGTAAGAGCTACAGGCACCAAATTTGGTATGCAGCTTCCTCTTCTCCTAACTTAAAGCAATGCCAGGGCTTGGTGGTGCCAGGACAACCGGAAGCCCTGGGAAAAGAGCTGTTTTCCGCAACATGCAAAGGGAGAGGCTGCCGTTGGGAGGAATGCAATGGAAAAAGTAATGAGGTGCTGGCCTCGTCTTTCTTTACGATGGGTGAAACCAGCACCCTGAAAGGGTCTGTGTCTATTTTAAGAGCTTTTTATTTGACATTTGGAAACTCATCTTGTCTACAGAATCGGGACAGCTGGAGAACCGGTGGGACTTTGGCATCACAATGAAATAAATGAGCCATCCAGGGGAATGGAAGTTTTCCACGTTGTTGACCATTTATCAAAATTTGGGAGTGTCCCCCCCCCCATCAAAAATAGTTGCCCTTTGAGTGTTTTGGGTCCCACCTATTGAGCGTTTACTGGACGCGGCGGAAGGATGCCTTTGGTAAAGGCTGAAAACCTCTTTCCAGTAGAGCTCGCATTGGCCATCTGCTGCAAACGAACATAATGCAACGTTCCCCACGCCCCATGAGCCCCCCTGCAAAGCCAAGGAAGAGCAGTTGGGTCCTGCCTGATATTTATACAGTAAAACCCAACCAAACCCCCTTTCTCAAACAGCCTGCCACGCCCAGGCTTTGAACCTGCTGCAAGAAGCAGCACAAGAGAGACGTGCTTGTCCCGAAATCCCTCTGCTCGTCCCTTTCGAGGCTCCGGGGCAAGTTCCGGAGCCAGACGGTGATCAGGGGCCCTCGTCACAAGGGAGGAGAACAGGGCGGGTCAGGAGCATCGCAGAGACGGCGTTAAAGAACCTGGACTTCTCTGTGATTTTTCCAGGGGTGTGTCACAGAGCAGGCCACGGAGCTACGGTTGCCAGCCCCCCCGGGTCGTCGGCAATCTCCAGGAATGGCAGATGATTCTCTGAAGTTGATGCGATACGAGGACCCCTCCGGGAATACGTCCAACCAAACCCGGCCACCCCACATGACTGGCCCACAACCGCCTCCCATTGCAGCTGTGCAGCCCTGCACCATTAGTGCCCAGGGCCCGGGCAGGCCGGCAGAGCTGTAGGAAAGAGATCTATATTGTGCCGGCCGGGGATATATACGGAGACTCTGGGGGGGCCTGCAAGCAGAGCCCCTGATGTCACACCGATCTAGGTTCCTCCCGAAACGCGACCCTCTTTCTCCAGTTCCACTGCGCACACGACATGTCCCAGCGCCCTTAGTGTGGAGGGTGCTACCACGTTTCTCCCCCTCCCTTTGGTGTCCCTTCTTGGCGTCTCTCCATGCCTGACCCCGCAGGGGATCAAGGACAGAAGAGGGGAGGGTCCAGTTTTCAGAACCGGCCAGCGTGCCGACTCCCCAAGCAACGCGCCGGCCACTTACTTTGAATCGCCAGAGCCCCCCGATGTCGTCGCTCCTCTCGAAGCAGGTGGGCTCCAGCCCTTCGTCCAGGCAGCCCTTGATGGAGGCCAGCCCGCTCACGCCGGCCCCAATGATCGCCACTTTGTGCACCATGGCCGCCTACGGCAAAAAAGGACCGCTGCCGGTGAGCAGCGACCTCGGCTTTTCCGCAGGCCGGCTGAGAACCTCGCAAGAGAGGATGAGGCCAAATTATGACGCGAAACCTCACGCCCCAGGCCTGCTCTCCCTCCAGCGTAGCCTGTTCCCACTCGGGGCTGCGAAACAGCCAGCGGCAAGAAGGGAGGGAGGCGAGC